GCTGCTGCCGCCCGCTGTCTCTGCTTTTCCTCTTCGATGGCGTCCAGAAGCTGCTTCCGCACCTGCTGGAGCAGCTCAGGGAGGTGGGCCTTCAGAATGGCCAGCTCACCTCCTTCTATACCTCGCCGAGCGCTGAGAAACTCTCCGTGAACAACTATTCGTGGACAACTATCCCATCCCATGCAACTTTTTTTTAAAAGTGGTCTTTATTAAGTGCGCAGGGTTCAAAGCTCTTGTTACACTCCGCACCAATGAAAACATGACTTTTCACATGTTTGTAAGTTGTTTTCGGTGATTGGGTAGGGTATATTTCCTCATAATCCTACAAAAGAGAGCGGTTTTTCGCAAAATCTTTTGATTCGCCTTACAACTGGGATCGATCCGATAGATCGGGTTGGGAGGCTCTGATAGTTGTCCACGAATAGTTGTCCACGAATAGTTGTCCACGCATAGTTCACGCATAGTTGTCCACGCAACGCATAGTTCACGCATAGTTGTCCACGCAACGCATAGTTCACGCATAGTTATCCACGCAACGCATAGTTCATGCATAGTTGTCCACGCAACGCATAGTTCACGCATAGTTGTCCACGCATAGTTATTCACGGATAGTTGTCCACGCCATTACCGGCAAGAGGAAGGCCAACGAGTTGGACTTGTTCTACTCGGGCGGTTCGATGGAACCCACCGGCCAGGTGGTAGCAGCATTCACCAATTCCACGGGCCTTGTGTGGCCGGCAACTCATCTATCCTGAGGTCAGCGCGGCGTGCACAGGGGTAGTGGCCGGGCGACCGGTTAAAGGAGCGACTGCTAAAGTTGTGGCCTTGAAGGTGGTTAAAGGAGCGAGGGACAAGAAGTCGTCACGCAGCGTTGAAACCGCCGATCGGGACAGTCAAGCCCCCAGCCGGGACCAGCTTCCACGATGGAGGAAGCACTTGGGCGCAGGTCTCCCGGGCTTCCAGTGAACTGTCGGGGCCTCTGGCATGTCTGACGCTGCTTGTTCCCATGCCTAAGTGGAGATTCCGGCTCCCGGGGAGCGCCGGAACAAAACCCCGGGGTACGTCTCAGGTGAAGAACATTTCGCGCATTCCTGGTGAGGATTCACGCAGAGTCGGCCT